AGAATGGTACCACTTGTGGCAGGCTCCACAGAAAGGTGCAGGTGCAAAGAAACGTACAGGGGAGATTTTCCCGTGGCTCCTAGACATGTGCACCCCTAGATGTTTGCGCAGTCTGAATGTGGCAGAACAATGTGGACACTTGAAGGCTTCCGCAGAAGCCGCAGTCTCTGCGCTGCGTTGGGGCCGGGGCATCGCAGGCCGACGGGCCCAGACCTGTAAATCGCCAGCAAACGCATGAATGGCCTTTCGGACCTGGGCTGGCCACCAAGCCGGATCCTGTTGCATGGTTTCGCAAAGAGCAGCAACAGGCTGAGCCGTATCTAGAAGAACTCTAGCAGCGGAGACGTACACTGCCACCGCTTTGATATCAAGAAGAAACTGATTGAGCCACGCCGTAGCCGCATGAGTCTCCCATTGCACTTGCAAGAAGTGCAAAAGTATCGCTGGCCCATGGACTAAGACTCTGCCAAAGAACGTTGCTCTGGCTTGTGCCAGTGCCAGCAGCGGGGATGTGGCACCTGCATCGAGGAGCACCTGGTAGCTGTGTGGCGTATCCTGCAGGTTAATATCGTGGCAATTATTCCGGCGTCCCCAGACCTTCCAACATCCCTCGATTCAGGAATCTACTTTCAATTTAAAAAGGTCTTTGATATGATGTAAGGCGTATTCCTGAATCAAGGGATATCGAAAGGTCTATAGGAACCCTAAACCCTAAACCCCTAAACCCTAAACCCTAAACCCCTAAACCCCATAGGCCCAACCCCCGTGGCCTGTGAAAGACACCTCGATGCGGACGCCTCTGGTGGGCTCCTCCTCCCAGGCTGGGTTGGCTTCAGGGGTTTAGAGTTAGACCCTAAACCCTAAACCCAAAGCCCTAAACTCTAAGCCCTAATCCCTAAACCCTAAACCCGAAGCCCTAAGCCCTAAACCCTACACCCTAAGCCCTAAACCCAAAGCCGTACACCCTAAACCCTAAGCCCTAAACCCTAAGCCCAAAACCCTAAACCCTGAACCGTTTAACCGTTTAGGGTTCTGGGGCTTGGGGCTTGGGCGTTGAGGCTTTCGGGGTTTTCGGGTGTTCAAGGCCGATGACAGCGCCAGGATGCCCTCTGATGGAGCGGCCTTAATACGCGGAATAGGGTTTAGGGTTTAGGGTTTAGGGTTGAGGGTTTATAGGGTTTATAGGGTTTATAGGGCTTATAGGGTTTATAGGGTTTAGGGTTTAGGGTTTGGGGATGTGCTACTGTTGATGATATAAACCCTGCAGTACCTTAAGTAAGGGCCCTAACACTTTTTTGGGAACGATGCTGCTAGTATAGTCCTTATTATGGGTAATGCAGGATGTATATCATCAACCTTATGAAATCTGACGCGGTGATTAAAAAACTAAACCGTATATAAGCCCTAACTCTACATAAAACCCTAAAGTCCCTGAAGCGTCGCAGCCCGATTCCCAAAAGGCTTAAGCAGCAGGCACCAAGATGCTAAAACCCAAGCCCGAAGCTAGAACCCAAAACCCTACACCCTCAAACCCTAGAGCCGAAACCTAAATCCTGAAACCCTAAACCTTAAACCCTAAACCTGAAGCCTGAAACCCTAAACCTTAAACCCTAAACCTAAACCCTGAAACCCTAAATCGTCAATGTTCGCGGGCCACTTTGAGACTTCCTTAACGATGTCTCGAATTCGAGGGTCTCTAAATCAGCGAAATGATGAGTGAGACTTTCAACTCGATGAGACTTCTCAGCCATTTTCTTTAGATCATCTCGAAGACCTATGAGCAGGTCTACTGTCAAGTCAGGAGTGAGGAAACACTTCTCAACGAGTTTTATCGCCTCATCATCAGCTTTCGACGTTCCCCTTGATTCACTTGAAAAAAGATTGAAGCGCTCCGGTTGAAACCCTAAACCCTAAACCCTAAACCCTAAAACCTAAACCCTAAACCGAAACTCTCGATCTCAACCTTTGGAGTCTCCTGAGTCCTCTTCTGCTGCTCTCCATGCTGCGAGAGAACCTGAGAGAATTTTCCTGAAGAGCGTCTCTCATCCCTTGTCCTTCCAGTTAGCCTCTTCATCTCCTCCTCAGTCATGAGCTCGACATCGAAGGATCACGAAAGCTGCTGCAGAACTCATATAGGGGCCTTAAAAGAATTAGAATAGCGTTCCTTTAAACGGCTCCCATTATCATAAGGGGTCTTCTGCGGGCTTAGTGTAGGGGCCTTAAGATCGACTTAGAAGAGGGTTTTCGGGTATATCAGACTTTCATAATAAGGAATCTCCCAAGACAGTCTTCATTCATTAGTAAAAGCTCTTCTAAGCTTCTAGGTCCTAAATTCGCGCGTGCGGCTTGTTGCAAAAGCTCGTTGTTCGCGAGCCGGCACAACATCACGGCAAATCACCTACGTTCACCTCCTAAGACCACCCCACCCCAAAAGCCAACAGTGAACCCCAGAAAGATGGGACATGGGCTTAGGAGGATCGGTGCTGGGATCCCTCTCTACTTTACCTTAAGAGCATGAGGATATTGATGCTCCAACTTTCTGGCTTCTGCCCTAAACCCCAACCCTAAGCCCAGAACCCTAAACCCTAAACCCTAAGAACCCCAACCCTAAACCCGGAATCTTACACCCTAAGAAGCCCAAATCCCAAACCCTAAAATCCTACAACCTGCAGCCAGCAGGTCTGGAAGGGAGGGGTTTCATATGGGTAGTTGTCAAAATTATGGTCCCTTTTGGGGTACCCTAAATAATAGGTGCCGTATTATAATAAGGACCCAAAAAGGGACCATAATTTTGACAACCACCCATATGACGGCAACAGGTGCGAAGAAACGACAATCAAGGGACTAAAGGAGGGACCCTTAAAGGGACCCTTGGGGTTATACAGGGGCTTTCTGAGACTACATAAGGGGTATATAAGGGCTATATAGAGGATCATGGGACTTGGCAAGTATGGTTATAAGTACCTTAATTGGAGTTATAAGTAGTTATAAGTATAGTTACCCTAATAATAACCTTAGTTGCTAAGTCCCATGATCCTTTAAGTACCGTAAATGGAGTTCTGGGCGAATTTACCAGAGTGCAATCAAGAGGCAATTGTGTGCCATTCCTCAGGCTGACCACTGTGTCAGCTTCCGGGACAGACAGGAAAGGCTTGCCATGTCCGTTTTCTCAGCATGCCTTTGAAACACTGAAGAAATCTAGCAGGAGCGGAAATAGCAGCGTAGGCGATAGCGCTGACACGCACAACGAAACTCGTAACACTAGTGTCTGGTGCTTGGACGTTTGGTCTTGCATCGACCGTAAACAGTGAACCTCGATGCTTAGAATAGGGTTATTGCGTAGTTTTATAGGGAACAGAAGATGTTCTTAGGATAAACTTACTGGATACAGCTTCCGGACCTCTGTGTTATCGGGCCTGGTGCTCAAGCATGCGCGACAGTTAAACACGGGACATATCAGAAAATGGGTAGCGCCGGATTAATTCAGGCTTTCTTGCTTGCCCGCGATTTTGATAAGCATTCGATTTAGATTGGGCAGCGTGTAACTTCATTGTTTAGTTATTGTTTAGTCTTGTCCTTGTGCTTCAACTTGCACCCCGTCTGGGGAACAGGCATTTTACCACCCCTGAAACCCCCTCGAACTCAAACCCGCAAACTCTACAGGTCGACAGGAGGCCCTTACACCCTAAACCCGCAGCTAACATGAACAACCCGTATGAATCCTATCAAGACAAGAACAAAACCTACACAGTAAATCCGCTCCCAGCCTCGAGATACATCCTTATCTGGACGCTGAAAAACCTGCGCGTTTAGAAACCTACATAGGGAAATCAGAATATGGAGCCCCAAAAACATAGGTTGCTTGCGGTTAAACCCTAAACCCCAAAACCAATGCGAAGCCCTTGGTTCCGAGCTTCCGGATCTCTCGCAGTTGCGCCAGGAAGTCGGAGTCCGCCTCTTCGGAGCTGTGCTTAGGTTTTAGCGTTTAGGGTTTCCGACTGATAAAACCTTAAAGGGTTTAAAACTTAGGGTTCAGGGTTTCAAAACTCTAAGCCTTAAGCCCTAAACTGATAACACCTCTTGCGATCCTTATAGAAGGCCCCAAGAACTTCTCGCTCTCCGCGTCCATGCTGCTAGCCCTTGCAACTGTAGTCACTGTACCTAGAGGATCATGGGACTTAGTAACTAAGGTTGTTACTATGGTAGCTATACTTATAACTACCTATAACCCCAATTAAGGTACTTATAACCATACTTACTAAGTCCCATGATCCTCCAAGTAGTCATGGTTATCGATACCAGCAACAATCGATCGAGAAGGCGTCCCAACAAAGGCACTCCGGGCAGTGACATCTCAGAGTCTGGAGGTCTATTGGGCTCTATTTGGTTTGGGGTTTATAGGGCTTGGGGTTTAGGGTTTAGGATTTGGGGTTTAGGGTGTGGGGTTTAGGGTTTAGGCGTTTAGGGGTTTAGGGTTTAGGGCTTATAGGGTTTAGGGTTTAGGGTTGGCTCAAGATGTAATGTAAAGCCTTAAACCCTGAACCCTAAGGCGCCCTGCAGCAGGGAGCCGAATCCCGTCATGTAACTGCTCTTGCTCCGGAAAGCCCGAAACCGAAATCCCGAAACCCGACACTATCCGATATCGGACCGCCTGAAAAAAAAACAACTCCAAAGCAAGCAGGTGGTATCGAGTTTCAGTAATTCAAGGCCGCTGGGTTAGCTCAGCTGCCTCCTAAATCTGTACTCGGCTGCTTCTTGGATGCCCTCCCCACTCGCAATGTAGGAACCTGATTAAGAAACCCTGGCCTATAA